GTGCAAAACGTGCTTATGTTTGCATGTTTATTACAAAACAATTTTTACAAAAAAAATGGGTCCAATAATAATTAATTGCCAATTTCGTTATTAAATACTACACCAAATACAAAATAAATAGCACCATTAAATTTCTTGTAAAAAAACTGGTTGTTATGAAGTTATTTTAAAATTTGTAAGTTCAACTGTTTGGTTTCCTATAGCGAACAAAATAAACAAATTTCTTCTTTTATATATATAAATATAGGTATTGTGCATGGAAATACCTGCCTAAAAAACTTTAGTACAAAGTTGGGTTACCACAAGCATGAAAGGACAGCAGTAATAGGAATGGAGTAAAGTATCTGTAGGAATATCGCATTTCCTCAATAAAAACCACCTCCATTTCTTTCAATAGTATTAAATTAGGTTTGTTTGTTTTTTGTTAAATTTTGCACAATGCTACTTGAGGGCTATCTGCTTTAGCCACTCCTAATTTTGAGCTGATAGACTAGAGGGATGGCATCTAGTCAACAACACCAACTCTTGGGCATCTTTTGTACCAACAAATAATGGGATTAACTGTAACATTATAATGCTCCCACAGCTGAAAGGGCATGTTTATTGATGAGATTAGAACCTGCAGCCTAGAGATTGTATGTCAAATGCCATAACCACCAGGCTATGCCAGGCCTATTAAAATAGGAAAATAATGTGAACTATGATTTGGAGAATGTCTTATTATGGTTTTATAGGATTATTGATCTGACAGTAGGTATGCAAAAAAGGCCTTTCTCATGCTTGGAAATCGAATCTACAATACCTTATTCTGTGTAGACAACTAGGTGCATTATCATCTTTAGAAAGACTGTCATTGGTGGTGTTTATAAGTGCTTTTTTTATAGGGTGAACATAATCTTCTATGATGTTATTGTTGTGAATAACTGTTATCCTGTCTTAGATTTTCATTACAGCAGTTGAACCAAGCCTTTGGGATTTATGCTTGCACGTAGATTTTCTCTGTACACATATGTCTATTTGATGGGGGAAAAAAAAAAGTTAATATTGGTTATTCTGACTGGATTGCTTTTTTATCAGTGTAATGTTGAAAGGGATTTGAACCTCAGTTGACCAGTTTGTTTAGTGAACTATTAAATTCATTTCTTGTAATGAAGGTTATACAACTTATTTTTTTAAATACAAGCTATAATATATGGATATCTGTAAGTATACCTTTGTTTTTAATTTTGTATACTTGTGAGTTTTGAATATTACTCAAATTGAAGTTGAATACCATGATTTTATTATGTAAAGACAGGTGTAAAACATATATATGTGTATTGTAAGCACCTCCATATACATATATATATTTCTTTTCTTAAGAGTTGCATTTCTGCTAGCTGCACACAAGTTACATGTATTGTAGGACCTTTCACTGATAACAAGCAATATGCCAAACTGAAGATTGTTGCACTGATGAATATGAAAGCATTAGAAGGCATCAAGGTAAGTTATCATGTTAAACTGTATTTTATAGAGATATTTGCAACTAGATTAAAGTTAAATATTTATACAAAACATTAATCCTTCCATGAGCTTTAACAGTACTTTCGTGTGGGTAGTATAAAAAAAACAAGAAATGATATATTAAAAATCCAGTCATTGGAACACTAGTTTTTTTAAAAATAACTTTCATTTCTTCTTTCTGTAACTTTTTATACATGGGCATATTATGTTTTCTACCTACTTTAGTTAGATAGAAGTTTTAAAAATTTCTTAGTTGTTTAGTTCCATGCTTTAATGATGTCAACAGGTGGTTCAGAAAGTAATTGAGATTGCTTTGCTCTCTATATTAAATAATGTATATCCTATTGGATAGAATTTTGCAGTAAAATATAGCATCCAGGTTGAAAGGATTAGCACTATAATATCATTTTCTGTCTGAGTTGTCATTGTCTAAATGGCACAGCCAACCAATGCTATAGGAGAACAAAGGCCATGAGGTGATGCTGTTTACTGGACAAAGAAAGCAAGTTCTCCTGTTGAATTCATGCTTGCTTTCTTTATCCAGTTCTACTAGGAGATCTTGGTGAGAGGATCATACTTGAAGACCATTCTGTTTAGTTCAGTTTTTAGAGAAAGAAACCTGTGGAACTAAACACACTCTGGTAGAATCGACTGTGATTACATCTGTGCAAGTATGCACATTGTGCTTTCTGTTTGTTCGTAATAATAAAGAGTTTATTTATATGGTCTCATTACTTTATTCTTACATAAACTTAGTCAAGTGCAGAACACTTCCCTTATTTCTTGATTGAATTTGCTGTTATTAGTGAGATTACCTGAAAATACCACAACTTCATCTGTTTATCTTATGGTAACAATTTGGTAAATCTATGTAGAATTATTGTGCAATTCATGTCTTGCTATGCTTCAGAATTGTCCACATTTCTAGGTTTTGGAACATAGCTATTGCACAAAAGATGCTTAATTAAAATAAACAAAAAATAAAAATGACCAAATCTTATGCAGATTTAAGTTGATTTCCAACAATAATAAATGATACTTCGTGAAGTTGCTGGACTTTTGTTTTTATGATGTACGGTTTTATCATTGCTAATTACTTTGACTCCAGGGTAGAAGAGATACCATTACTGTTGTGTCAGAAGGAGAAGTGAAAATAAATGATGAAAAACCTGATATCCAGCCAGATGATCACCGTCCAGACCATACCAAAGTTAGTAGTAGTAGTTTATTTCTAGGCAACGTATATTTATTTCCCAACCAATTCTTTTATTTAAAGAATCATTTTTACTTTTCAAATGTGTAAATTAGCACTTCAGTAATAAATACAAAGGAAAAAATTAACCTAATGAAGTAACTGGAAAATCTAGTTTTTAGTAGCATAAGAAAACAATAAAGAATATCAATTGAAAGGTAACTACAAAAGAAAAAGATTAACTTTTTTAAATTTCATAACTCACCAGTGGTGTTTGAAATGGCTACTTTTTATACAATGCTTTTGTTTACAGGTTTTTTCCACATTTGTAAAAGCTGGACCCCCACCTCCTGCTAAGTTACAAAACTGGATTATTGCTGTCAGTATTGGAGCTGGAGTCCTTTTGTTGATCTTGATTCTCCTTGCATGTATTCATGTAAGTACCACTATATTAGCAGCAAAATGCAGAATTATTTATTTCACTTGTTTTGTACAATAATTACGCTTTCATTTTATTTTTTGCTCAACTGTACTACATAAGATGCATTGGTACTACATTATGTCTTTTGACATAATACTGTAAATATCGTTTATAAAGAAAAGTTGATGCCAACAGTAAATTAAATGCAAGTCTAGAAACATCATTCTTATGTTATTAAAAAAAAGCAACCTTTGTCCATTATCAATGATGTATATTATATAACTAACACTTAAGTATGATTGTTGGAATATTTTTAGCAATTTTCTTAGATTCTATTGTATCTTGTGCTTACTACAGTTGTTGTTGTTCAGATATTATTCAGTTGTGCATATGGCACTTTGGTTAACTCCTCTTCTATAAATAGAAAATACAAAATACATTTCACCTATAATCTTACATTGTTTTCTGTCATACTCAAACAATATTGGCTTTATTTTGAATTGTTTGTTGAACATTCTTTCATGCAATTCTGTATAAGAATCTCTTATAACTTTTTTATATTTTATTGGTATTATTTTCTTCACAGTTTAAAGACATATAAACTATTTATTCACTAACTTTTTAGTAGCTTTAATATTATCCAATTCACTATATTTATTTATTCAGTTTCTTTTTATCAGCACTATATATTATTATAATAATTATTTGTCACATAGTTCTAAATTATATGTATTACGTCTGTTTGTTGTGTTACATATTACTACTGTTTTTTTTTTTATCTAGCACAGTTTTGAATCTCATTATAGTTTGTCTATTGCTAGTGTGTATTGTTACCTAACATAGTTTTAATTCATACAATGATTTATCTGTTTGCTTTTTTTTTAATACCAATAGTTCCATGTATTGTATTACCTGGTTTCCAAACAATTCTGAATTAAATATGTCTATTCACTTGTATCATACAAAATTTTGTGTGTTAATATTATTATTGAACTTCTTGGTAAACTTGGTGTCTGTGCAACATGTGTATTACAATCTCAACCTTGGCTTTGTGCAACTAATACCTAAACCATTTGTTGTTCTTGAAAGAGCTAGAAAACTTTATAATGTAGTTTGATCAGTTTGCTAACAACCAAAATATCACTTTAATTGACTATTTTTGTTTTTCTTAGTTTTAATTATAATGCTTAAAATGATTATCAATTTTACTGATTACTCTAGATTATTGAATATTAAGATAACAAAACGTCACTCATTGGTGACTTTATATGTTACATAAAGGTTTATTTGAATTTTTTTTTCTTGCAACAGTGAGCATAACCACTGTTTCACTCATGACAAGCATTTTAATCTCTACATTTGGCTACAATGTTATCTGTACTATATGATGAAAGTCCAATAATTCTGAAACGTTTCTGATGAAACAAATTCTCTATTTGTAAGCAATCATGTTTACAACCACTTGGCATCATAATGCACCTGGGTTGGGCCAGTATCCCATAATAAGACACACAGTGTCATGTATAATAGCGCTATTATTATTATTATTACTAAATTAATTGATAACCACAATATTAATCAGTTATGTCAAAAATCATAATTAATCAAATAATTTGAATATCTGTTGCAGCATTATCAATTAGTTTGACAAAGCCTGCAGTAATATTCATTTAATTGAATCAGCCAAAATCTTGCATAATGAAAATAATACTGCTATTAGAAAAATCAAAAAGGCTTTAATAATAAGATCCATAAATCCTAAAATCAACAAATACTTGGTCACACCACTGTATCTCTTTAAAAGTGGATCTAGCCCCAAACAATTAATGTTAGAAACAATTTCTTGTGGCATTTTTGGCAAGTTTAGTTAATGGTCTGTGATGTTGACATCTATATTCAGTTCTTTTCATTTCAGTTTTGAATATAACATGCATAAGTGTGAATTAAGATCTTTTTATATTTTCTTTCAAATTTTTGTTAACATGTTATTATTTTTATCTTATTGTTTAATTTTAATGTAATAATGCTTTCAGCATCATCTATATGTTAATCACCTGAATATTCCAGATCAACCTGGTGAAATTTAGCATACTTATATTTTCTTACTTCCAACAAACTTAAAGTTTACACCATCTAAGTTGTTAACTTAAAATTTTTTGTGTTTTAGAACCAGTTAGCAACTGCTATCTCTTTAAGTAAAAGAACTACTGTTTTTTACAGCTATATTACACTTAAATTTATATTAATTCAGCTTACATTTTCCAGTATTTTGGGGAATTAATGTCTGTTATAAAGGTAAGCATCAAGTACTGGAGAAGGAGAATGGAGCCACTGAATGAGTTCTTAATTGTTTAATCACTTCAGTAGGAATGTACCAATGACTTGAACATCTTGATATATATCAGAAAACAATTTAGATTGTTTGTCATTGACTTTATTTTTAAAAATTAAACAAATTTTTTAGTAAGACTTAAACAAAGATTTACTTATTAAAAATGGAAACTTTAACAATTATGATGAAGTTAATAATCACTCACCAGTTTATTTGAAATTAAATCTGTTTCTAAATTCAGTTCGGATTCTTCCGAAGAAAGAAAAAAGAAGAAATGGAGCGCATGAGACAACAAGCAGCACTACTTGAGTGGCAGCCTTACCTTGTCACCGATGAAGAAGTGGAACAGGAAAAGGAAGTATATACTAATGCAACCACTTAAGAGAAAGATAAATAATAAGCTCTTGGTAGAAGATAAAGCATACAAAAGATGGATTTCTACCAATAAAGAAAATAAGGCTGGACTCTATCAGAGTGTCAGTTAATTAGGATTTTTATAAAATAACAGTATGTGATCATAATGACAATTATCAACCGAAGGTTGTACAGCTCATTTGAAATACATTAACTTACTGACAGTCATCTGAATGAACTGATGAGCGACCATTGTATAAAAAAAACAATTTTTTTTACACCATGCCTTATATGTGGCAACTTTTTTTCACTAGATTTGCAAAACATTAATTTAATGTTAATATATTTGTGTATCACTCCAACATTACCTATTCAAGTGTAAAAGTTTGAATCTCTTCACAGATTTTTGTATTGTTTGAAGATAGTGTTTTCGTGGGAGTTAGCTGTATTTCTTAAATGAAATACTATGAATACTGAAATTTGACTTTTACATAAACATAATAAGTAGATTAGAATGATGTGCCAATTGAATTGCAAGATTGTGGAGGACTAAAACGTTTTTTACTCTCTCCTAACAAACAAATAATGTCTTAAAGAAAAAGCATTATATATATATACATCAGTCTAGTAGTACTATGTTTGTGGTACTAATTTTAAAAAAATATTTATTAGTTTAAAAAAAAGTGATTGAATTACTGATGTAGTCTTTATAATATTGTGTTCTGAAAATGAAAACTTAATTTCCATTGATTACCTGAGTTTCAAATTATCCATAATGTTCTTTGAATATGTGATATTTGGAGTTTAAAAACATACCTTACGGTTAGATTACATTTTTGTCATCTGTTACGTTTTATGAAAGCTTTAAGTTTAGAATCTCAATTCAACATTATATGTCACTGGAGAGATAACAGACACAGATTGCTTAGCTTAATGTAGAAAAGCTATGTGTTAAAAAAGTCTTATTGTATTGACAATAGCTCATGCGCATACGATCTAAACACATTTAAAAAGGTGTAAGCATTTAATTGTTTATTTTTTTTGGTGGAACTGTAATATTTTGATACATGTATACTTGTGTTATAATAGTGAAACCCATGAAGATAAATGTCATATTTTGCAGTAAATAATTATAAAAATGACAAATGATGATTTTGATACTTTTACAAAGATGTATATTGAGACAGTATCATAGTTACCCCACTAGAACCTATTATATGCATCTGAATTTGATTATCAAATACAGAAGATGAGAACTAGGTTGAGTTTAAAGCTACACTTATGCTGACATTTCCACCTTGTTCATCTAAAATGTTTTGCATTCTGCTTAAATATTTTCTGAATGTTTTATATTCAAAAACATTTTTCTGTTTTGGTGTCTCACTAGAAACATAAATAAGGTGTTTTATTACCTCGCTGACAACCAAGAAAAATACAATAACTTTGATCTATTTTACTCTTAACCTGAAAGAACTAAAAATAAAGGAGCCAATATTACTAGAGAGTTGGCCCCCAGTGGCTCAGCAGTAAGTCTGGAAGCTTATAACTGGGTTTGGTACCCGTGGAGGGCACAGCACAGACAGCCCTTTGTATAGCTTTGTGTTTAACTACAAACAAACAAGCAAACTAAAGAGTTGTATGTTCCAAGCAGTGAGGTATATTGAGGATTACATTGCATAAACTCTTACCTTTTCATTACAAGGCATTTGGTATTCCTAGGATTTACGAAGAATTGAACAAAATATAAAAATTTTCTTTGTGATAGATTTATCATATATCATTGCATTCAGTGTGAAAACTCTTATCAAAGTATGATCATATAGTCCCTTGGAATATAAATAGTGGGTGAACTAAGTATTCCCATATGGTAAACAAGAGATTAATGCAGGAATGATTATATTACACTATATAGCACATAACTCTATGTTAGTTCACATTCTAGTCAATAAGTTTGTTTTCAATAGGTTTTAATGTGGTTTACAATCAAATTTCCTGAACTGGATAGTTTGACTGCAGTGCTCAATTTCATTTTGGTAATATACACTATTCCTCCATTCATAATTGTAGAATCACTTTGGCAGTACATATAGGTTTTAAAACCACAAACAAATTACTACAGTAGCAATAGAAGAATAACCATATTGCTTTGGCAGTACCACAGTTCAATAACAACAGTTTTATTAAGTCAAAGCCGTTTGTATTCAATATTACTGAAACTATTGTAGCAAGAGTAATTTGTCACATTTTACTGCTAGTAGTGGTTGCTTGCAGATTTTTTTACTGTGTTTCTTGAATTATTTGTATATGATCAAAGTACGTAAATACATTGTTTATGGTCCCATAAACACAAGAAAAATGCACTGCTAACTGAACAATATGTATTATTTATAGAAGTTCCAAGTCTAGATTGATTTCCAAGTATTTTGTTGATTTAACATTTTATTAATTATTTGTTTTTGTATACTGGTTGTAAGATTATTCTGCAAGTTAGGTATTTAAGGTCAGACGTATAACATGTTCTTTGTTACTAAAACCAGTTTAAAATCAAATGTGTTACTATTTAATATAAAACTGTTCTTTGTACTTTATGTAGACATGAATAAAAAAAAAGGTCAACAGTATCTGAAACAACTACTTATTTTTGTTCTAATCTTAGAATTTTGGGCTATTTTTTAAGAATTTACTTTGGTTGTAGAATTGAAGGAGGATTTTAAATAAGATGTAAGATTACACATTATTTAATTAACTAACTACCCAGTGTTTTCTATATTTATTATTGTACACATTCTTTTATGTTGCACACTTTTTTTCGGTTCAAATAAATAAATATCAGTAAAACTGGAAAATATATGAAGCATAACTCAACATGTTTTCAGTGATGTAGCAGTAAAAATAGTAAGTGTACCCAAGAGATGATTCATTTTTCTACTAACTTTCTTATAAAGGATTGATTGTCTTTATTAATGTATATTTGTTTTTAACAATACAATTACCAGTGGCTTTTTTATATACATTTTTCTAAACTGTTTATGCATTAAATTGCTTATGAGTCCTTAGCTTTGTTAATGTAGTAAATTAAATATTTTCATTCCCTGCATACAGGACCTGAACCTGGGACCTCTTGTACAGCTGGTTAGTGCTAAAGGATTAACCTACTAACAATTCTAATAAGACATTTATCAAAAATTTAACCTACTACATTGGGTATATGGTCCCTAATGACATAAACATATAAAAAAAAATATAGACAATATTGCAATTAATCCCACTCATTTATGTTGGCTAGTTCTTTACAATAAATATTGTAATAAATAAAAACATAAAATTACTCAATACACTCCATACTGGTAGTGAATGGTATCAAAACAAGTCGATGATTTGTTAGCTTACTTTAAATCGGAAATTATTGATAATTATATAACATTTGAAACATATATATGTGTGGTTTAACATAATATAATAAGATGAATTTTCTAAACTGCATGTTACCATAACACAAAGGGGTGGATGAAACTAGTAGACTATGAATCCAAGGCTCCATGATTTCAACCTGTTGCCCGTAACATGTAACATTGTGCGCCACACTTTGGGGTCACGAGCACGCTATGAAAATGATGATACGATTCCACTATATAATTACAGTATCCCCAAAAGTTGGCAATTAGTGCTGTTGTCTAGCTGTCTTATCTTTAGTTTAGCAGCTCAAAATTAGGGACAGCCAGATCAGATAGCCCTTATGTATCTTTGAGTGAATACCTGGAGCAAACAAATGGAACTCTGACACAAACCATCATTTAACCAATGATTTATAACATCTTATGTCAGAGATGAGATGAATAAATGTATGATATTAAATATAAAGCTAAAACAGTAACAAAACATTTTGAAATATCAAATGAAAAGCTTCAATAAAAAACAAAACTGAGTTAAGTTTAAATTTTCAAATATCTGCTTGTAGTATTATGAGTTTGTTATTACTGGTATCAATGAATAACTGCGTACATATACGGAGGGTTGACAATGATTTTGGAGCCTCGCCACATTGTTCATTACACCCCATGCCAACTCATCTGGTACATGTTCTATCTGACGACCATGCATTTTGACAATAGCCCTGCAGCATAATATCCATTGAAAAAGGCTCTCAGGTAAGGCCTTTATGCTATTTGTCTTCCAATACAAAGGATGTACTCAATTTGGAAATTATAAATATGTGATCCAAGTACATCTTTATTATTTGAGGGTACGAATATTTTGCATCAGAATGATGCTGTTCCATTCTCTACCCAAAAGTAATAAATTTTTGGTGGCATCACGCTACCTAAGAATTGCCAAGCAATGTCAAAATGTAGTGGTGATACATGTCATTACACCCCAACTTTATATTTGCTGTGGTTATAATGTGACATGCATATTCAAAATAATTTTAATATACTGTACTCAACCCTATAGATCTTGCGTAGCCTAAACGTATTTAAGGAGTTTCAATTGATTAGTATTAAGAGAATATGTAATACAGATTAATTTTTTTATACATCCCTCATTATGCATTTAGAATAATTATGGTATGACATGAGAATGGTTAGCTTATTTGTTTAACTACGTGTAAAGCTACCTGAGAACTATCTAAACTAGTCGTCCCTAATTTTGAAGTGATAGACTAGACAGAAAGCAGCTGGTCAACACCACTCACTGATGGTTCTTGGGCTACTCTCTTAACAATGAATAGTGGGATTGACTGTCACATTATAATGCCCCATAACTAAAAAAGCAGGTAAGATCAGCAATGGGTTTCAATCCTGCAGAAAGAGTGCCATAACCATCAGGCACTATGAATGGCACGAAATTTGACAATAATGCACTACACAATTGGAGATTCAAGTGGCAGGTGGCAGCACAGTTGCAAACATTTCCCTTCAACAATTACTGATTGGTACCCTTATCAGTGTTTTCTTTGGTATTATTTGAAAGTAACAATACAGGATACAGTGACTTAAAGTGTATGGATTTTCCCAGCATGCAATTCACAATGACATCATAGCAAAGAGGACACACTGAACAAGTCATTCAAAATCTATTGAATCTACTGAGTATGTAGTGCAATGTTGTGAAATGTAGTGCTGTTCATGTCTCATATAACACATATGTAATTAATACAAAATCGTTCTGTACTTCGGTACAGAAAAAAATGTTCTATTTTATGGTTATTGTGTATCTCTCAGTGAACATGAGATCCAGGTGTGCCCAAGTGGCATACTTAACCAGAATTCAAGAGTTTATGGTTCATACTTGTTGCTATAAAAATGCACTCTGCACTTTGGAGCCATAGTTGAATTATAAGAGTGATGGTCAAATCCCAATATTTGGTCAGAAAAGTAGTCTAAAAGTTAGTGGTTGTTGCTGTTGACTAGCTTCCTTCCCTCTAGTTTATCAGTTCAAAATTATGCTTAGAGTGAAAATTCTGAATCAAACAAACAAAATTTTTGGATGTGGCCTAACAGGAACTTTTAGTAAAGTTAAGATGAACTATAAGTGTATAATCATAGGGTTATTTCATCATATTAAATTAATCAAACAATGGGTCAAAAAACAAAAAAGGCTTAATACACAATTAACAGTTTCTTTGTTTGGAGTTAAACACAAACCTACACAATTGGCTATCTTTGCTATGCTTACCAGGGTATCAAAACCCAGTTTCTGATGTTATAAGTTTGCAGGCTTACCACTGTGCCACTGAAGGGCATTTAAGTAACAGAGAAAAATCACTTGAAGGCTTTAGCTCAAATTGGATAGAAATGAAAAAATATGATCAACACAGAGAAAAATCATTTATCAAACACTCAGTTCACTTGTAACCAGAAATATATTGAAAGTTACATATCATATACATAAAATAACAAAAGTTAAAAGCTGTTGAATAACAAACAAATATGACTTAGATGTCAACAGGGATTTTCAGCATTAAGTATGATTGTGAATCCGAGTTATTTTTATATATATATAGGTTTTTGATGTTTTGAGTGTTTAAATTTGGTTAGATAAAATTTTAAGATCATATACAACAAACAGAAGAAACTGAAATTGCATATATGTTATGAAGAAAATATATCTTCAACTACAGTGGATACAAAAAATTAACTAAAACATGTTTTCTCCTATTACAAGAAGAATGATGTTCTTTTTTTGGAATAATTAAAGTGAAGTAAATAAAACTGAAACTAAAAGGAAATTAACTTTGCCCTGACTCCTTGCAACACTCCAAACACTCGAGATTATTACCAATATCCAGGATACAACAAATTGTATCAGTAAGATCGATGCTACCAAAATCAAAGTGGAAGTAAAGCAAATTACTCTCCAAATTCAAACGAACATGAGCTGAGAAAAGAGACACACATTAATAAACAAACAGAGCACTGTGTTTGTAACTTTTGAAACAAACAAAAAAACTAACAACAAAAAACCAGCTGGTAATGGTCAAAGATACTGGACATAGTCTTGTTACTTCAAACATAGTAAACACCAAATACAAAATCGTGAAAAAGTTACATCAGCTGTTAAAATACTTAAAATTGATAACTTGAATATCCAATTATGATCAAACCACCATATTTCTGCAGATTGCCAGAATAACCATACAACAGTATCCTATTTACAAGTAGACTTTTAGTAAATTTACTCAATAGTACCATATACCAGAAAGCGAATGTTTTAGCCATCTCCTTGAAATTAAATTACATTTCGTGTGAAACAAGTTAAAGAGTTAGTGCTTCATGATCAATATATTTTAGCCTTTCTGATGTAATCTCATTATTCACTATTGTACCTGCAATTTTAAACATTCTAATCTTGCAAACTAAAACCAGATAAAGCTGATTTACTGAACCAACTTAAAATCTCTTCTCAGTAACCTGTCTTTTAACTTTTCTTGGACAGAAGATATTTACCAAATGGCTGTTGGAATACCAATTAACTCTTCCCCCAATCCCTATTGTACATTAATTTTTTTTAAGAGAAATAAGGAGTTGCTAAAACACCTAATCACATGGTGTTATAATAACAAAAAATAAATTAAACGAGTTTCTAAAATACTTACCTCTCTGGTGTTATAAAAGCAAAAAATTATATAGTTCCTAATATACCTAGCCACTTGATATTACGACAACAAAAATAGGAGTTCCTAAACAAGTACAGTGATCCAAAACACTGCAGATGCAAGATAATGGGCAACATTTCTTAACACACTTGTGATAAAAAGAAATGTAACATCTTAAAAGGACCCAATAAAACTCGCAAATAATACAGTATGTCAACAATCAATAACATCAAACTCCTCTTGGGAAAAATCTAGAGCAATTTTTTCATAGACAATTTTTATATATTTGTTTCTGTGAGTTTTTGCTCCACTAATGGAAATTTTGGCAAGTATATCACATAATAAGAAAGAAAACAAGTGCATTATTATGAACCATAATCTTGGAAGCATTTTGCCTACCAAAGGTTGCAGTATCACAGTCAATACAGTTATGTTGAGAAAAAAGTAAGACATTTTCTTAATGTTTATATATTTCAACATCATTAGTTTCTAGTCTCAAAATATATTTACCATGACATACTATTTTCTTCTACAAAACTAATTCTCTGATTTTTCTGTTAAGCCTACTTGTTACTACTGATTTTTTATACATGCATGAAAATTTACAGTCCAAGAAAACTTTATCTTTGGATTAGTGACTATAATAATTTTCAAATTTCATATCTTATCCCAGCTGAACAAAGTAAGTCTTAACTAAGGATCAGTAATGGACTGAATTAAAAGTCAGTAACAAAAAAAGTCTGTTATAATATAAAAATACAATTCAAAGTTAAAATTTTATTTTATATACAAAAATTACTTATAAGTCCATTTAATTTAATTTTATGTTAAGTCACATACATAGATAACTCTCAGAATTAATCTTTTAAGGTTTTGAAATTTGGTCATCTAAACCACACTTCATGTTCAACACGTGAAAATGAAGTAAGAATGTTACCATGATTTAAAGATCCAACATAATGTTATTTCTATTATTCCTACATGCTCTTGTCAAGATGCTGTTCTCCTTTGATTACACTAATACAGTAAACAAGACCACCAAGTAAGTTCTGTTAGATATGAATTTTCAAAATGCTACTAAAATACTGCTTTACATGAAATATAAACTATTTATTTCTGGTTTCAGCAGTTATTTGAGCTAAATTAAAAATTATAGAAAATTTGAAAATATATAAAACTTGAGAAGACTGTACCGTCTAAGCACAATCAATTAACATTCCAAAAATATTCCTTACCAAAACCTTTCTCAAGCAATATAACCAAATTATTAAGGGATCCATTGAATATTTCTATTACTATTGGCATACCACAGGTATGAAAGCACAAACTAAACTTATAAGAAAACCATTTGAAAACTAATGTTCACTAAAATATTTATCAAAATTCGCCCTGTGGGCTACCTTTCGCTCACATGTAAATAATTTAATTGAAATTGTTGTGAATTATCTGAACTATCAGAATTATTAACTACTATTGATGTAGATGGTTGTTAGCTCTAAATAGATGTCAATATAAAACATGATGTGGAAAGCCAAAATTCCAGCAGCTTTTAATGTTGTAAGTTGATAAACTAGTTTTATACAAGTATATTTATCTATCTATATACTACTAAAACTTTGAGATTGTTTGTTTGTCTGTAATTAAATACAGCAAAAATGGTGCATAATAGCTCCATATTTGTAATGAAATGAGAATAGAAACAGAATAAAACAAGTTTAGTTAAATATTGAAATTAGCTTGAATTCTTCATAACCTCTGAATAGTGGGTGGCCCAACTGTTACTATGGTGTATATTAGTGATTGTGTGATAAGAAATAATGACATTATCCAACTGTTACTATGGTATATATTAGAGACCGTGTGATAAAAAATAATTTCGGATCACTTTTATGAAAATTTCTAGCATGAGTAATTTTACATCACACTACCGTTTGCACTCTTTATGAAACTTCTTACTTCACTTTTTTGAAAAATGAAATGGTCTTTCCTTTTACTCCCGATCAACAATCAAATATATTTTCTTGAATTATGAATAACGCGAATGGATTGAAATATTTAATTAAATTATCTCAAAATAAACCTTCATTTCGGTGCAATATTGAAATTAGCTTGAGTTCTTCACAACCCCTGAATAGTGGGTGACCCAACGGGTCACGGTGGTCTATTTGAAACTAACCAAGTAAGTTGCTATATTTCATCTGTTTCAATACATCTCAACTATTCAGAACATGTTATGTCATCATTAAAAATTAAATATTATTGAAGCTAAAAATCAATACATTTACTTCAATAACAGACTGCATAGAAGTGTACAAAATAATTATAAGCTTAGATACTTTGGTAAGAAGACAGCTATTACTATTTACATTTCATATATTAGCTTTTTCAGATAGTTCCTTTTCATATTCTATCAGTTGTTGCATGAAACCGTCATTGGGTCTAATAAATGGTCTTACACTTATTACTTTACTAAGAGCCTCATCAAGACTTAATTTTTCCCTGTTCATCAAATATCCAACAACTATCGTGGCAGAACGAGACACGCCAGCATTACAGTGAACCAAAACACCACCCTCTTGTCGACCACTATCAATGAAATAGAAGCAGTCATCAAAAAATATTCTGATGTTTGTTTCTGGAAGGTCAAAAATATTGATCCTTTTGTAGATAAATTCTTGTTCATAAAGGTTTGGAATACCAGTAGCAACATTTAAAATGTGTGTTACATGTATACGGTGTAGAATATCTAGATCCTGGGCAACATCTTGAGATCCTGGAAGTAATAGAAAACTATTATTATTGTAACCATTACTTGTTCTATGTACTTATATTCTACTAACTGGAGTACCCATCCGTTGGATGGGTGAAAAATAAAAACTTGTTTGAAACAAAGGATGGGAAATTGTGCTTTTTTTTTCTTAACATAATAAACATTAAAAGTGCAATAAGCTTTAAGTCAAACTTGATACAGAAATTAAATGGTTCAATGAGTTGTCAGAAAAAGAACACCAAAGTCCAACTATTCAAAATGAGATGATAAAAGTTTTTCTAAAACGCATGAAAAGTGAGTTTACAGGCAACACACATATAATACACTTTTCTAAATCAACATGGATTATAATACATTTTGTAAAATTGATAAATAAAATAGTGTTTGACTATGTTAAAATCAATAGAGGTGAAAATGATAAATCTGTTGGAGTGAAAGCAGTTGAGAGCTTTCTTGGTTCTCATGAAAACAGAGATAATGGAAGTACTGACATTCAAACTCACATCCTAAAACTTGTTAAAAAAAAAAAGTCTTTCTCTTAATGAAGTGCCTTGGCCAAAGACATAACTGCAGTAAAACCATAAATGGAGCATACTCTGGTGTACAGGGAACTATGAATGACAAGGAATCAAGTGAAAAGCATGTACAGTGTACTGGGGTGGCATTTGCAAAGTTCCTTTCTGAAGCCTCCAGCAGTTCTGCCAGTGTATTTGAAAAGCACATCCAATCACACTAAAATTAGAAACTAGAAATTATAAAAAACTAATTACTCTAATACCAACAACTGATGAGAACTAAAATAATTGAAATATCATATAAAATATATTTTATAACCTTCATTTTTTGCTGTAGTTCACAGTTAATATTGAGTCACAAATTCACTAAAAACATTCTTACAATAATAGTACAAAACTTTGTGATATGATTCAGAATTATCTTTCTTCTATTAAGTAAGCTCTCTGTGCAAGGTCATGTGGCAAATTATAGGGTGTTGTTCTCTGTACAATGGAATGTGTTGTCAAATTCAGTATCATAAAAATAATCCCACACAATTTAATCAGAATAAAAGAGTTATGACTATTATTTTTTTTAGTATTACTGTAAATCTCAAACCAATTTGCAGATTCAACATAAGCTAAGCACTCTGTTTCTGCTTTCACTCAGTTACTAGTGGCAAGTAACTGAGTCATCACAGTAGGGGAACCTCTCATTGCTTCAGAACCCCATGCAAATGCATGTATAGTCAGCACACTGCCATTGAGAGTGTGCTGTGTATACCTGAATCTTGAGGTCAATGATGCTGTTAAAGGTGATACAGAAATGAGTGATAATTATACAGTAAATTAAGAAGATTATTTTTTTCTTATCTAAATATTATTTAAATGTATATTTTATCATTACTTATAAGCAAAGCAGAAGTTACTGTAAAGAAGTTGAATCTCACAGGGTGGATAGGTGACTTATTTTCTTGATAGTTGGAATATGAACATTTTGAGGTATTACTGAAATTATGGCTAAAAATATTTTTACAGCGAGGTTATCCATGTGATGAAATAATGCATTCTAATAGTTATAAGTAGAAATATAAAAAAAGTATATTTAATTAGTTATAATGATAGCCACAAAGTGATTTTTAATTTCACTCTATGTATTTAGCTTGTTCTGATTGAAAGTTAATATTAAACATTGAAGCCTTGACTAAACTCATCCTTGAAAGTAAGAAGTGGGTTGAATGTGACAAAGCAATTCATCTGAAACTGGACAAGTTTAACTTGTGATCTTAGTTGTGGTTTTCGATATGTATTCTAAACTTTCATGGTACAAAGAAGCTTACTTAATGAAAACCACATACCATCTTCAAAGTGCATCAGAACACACAAAAAAAGTCATGATTATTTTAACCCATAAACAGGCAGTTTGTAAGTATGATTTCGTGCAATGTGAAGTTTAGCAATGAATGTATACGAGATGATTTGCGAGTCATATTTAGGTGCATTTTTTAATTCCAGATTACACAAAAGCACAGATCTTCCAAGGATGTTGCACCTGGACCCCCAATGGGGCTCCACCCCTGTCCCCCACCAGGGGCCTTTGGGCAGGCCTGTGGACACCACCCAGTAGATGCTCATTGTCACGTTGGTGCCATCTCTAAAAAACAAAACAAAAAACTTTGTCCCTGTCCCCCCACAAACAATAACTCTGGATCTCCCAATGTGTCAGAGGGGCTACATATCAACACCAGAAATGTGAACTACAGTTTGATGAAAAATGTACAACTTTAGTAAAGTTCCACTTTGATAACTTACCCAAAGACAAAAGATAGAGTGACCCAGAAGACTGTTTTAGGGTTACAGTACTCATTACAAAATTCATTAAATGAATTGTGGGGAAGATTGACATTTATTTTTCTCATAGCTAAATTATCATAATTTCATATTCTTTTTGTTTTGTGAAGTGTACAAATATGAAATGGCTTTTACTTTTGAAACTGAGCTGTATGGTTTCTGTCACTTAAATTAGAATTAAAAGATAAGAAAGTAACTTTTAATGAAAGCACACACAAAAAATAATAATAATAATGCATTCTAAATAGATAAAATATAACAAGAGTTACCAATAAAAAGCCTTGGTGTTACTTCTGCCACTTGCAAGTCAGGTTTCAAGTCTCCAATATAACCCAAACACCTGCCTTCTTCTATCACATGAAACCTTCCATGACTATCCTTTTTTTCTCGCAGCAATCTTCCACTCTCTGTTGTGATTATAGTTTCTACAGACCGCAGATTACAGGGTGAGAAACCTTGTAGCTCTTGTAGAAAGTTTTGTCGTTCCATGATTGTAATTTTGATACAGCTGTTATTCCACTTTAATCCCTGAGACATAATAATAATGTTCTTTAGTACATTATTATTCAAAAAAGTTCAAAAAAACTCATAAAATAAGATCATGACAGATGTTATTAATAATTTGACAAATAGAACAATGTATAATGTATTCTCGTGGTTCACATGTACTAAAAATCCACTAGTATACATTTTCTGATGATATTTAGTTAGGTGGGCTTAGAAGTTGCCATTTTTCTTCATTACAAATGCATTTCTTCTTTCTCAATAATAAATTTTTTTTTCTGAAGATATTTTATTTTGAGCATTGACTTTGAATGTCTTCCCTGAATATTGGTCCTTAAACTGAGACTAACGACTTAGCTCCTAACATCTATGTATTAGTGCAAAGTTTAGTTTTTAATAGGAAAAGTCATGTTCAGCTGTTTGAATTCCCAACCTCATCTAAAAAATAAAAATAGACTAATACTACAAACTTCTACTTTGATTTAAGATTTTAAAGCCTAAATATAACCTTTCGCATCTATGTATAACTATCCAAAAGAATTATAAAATAATTCAAACTTACTGCACAAACCATATTGTTATGCAAACCATTTCATAAGTTTATAATTAATAAAAAAAATAAACTGTCAAATTTGCCATAACAAGTGTGCATCTATTCTTCCAAAGCTCAAACTCATTACCCTTAACTTTTAAGTTTACATTTTCAAATATTTTTGTGTTCCACCACTCAAACACAAAAATTACTCAATTTCCCTAGCAATATTTAACACATTGAATTCCTCTGCACTTCAGAGAAAAGTCCAAAATCCTAACCTTCTTGTCACTGCTCACATATAAATGCTATAAACCATAAAATCCTGGTTAGGCCTTGTTTGGAATATGTGTTTAATTTTGGTCATCTTATTTCAGAAATCATGTTGAATTGTTGACAAGGTTTTAGAGAAGAGCTTGAGGGAAATCCCTTGATGAATTTGTTGGAGGTGAGTTAAAAACAATTGCCTGTAGTAAAATTAAAGGACACAAGCTTAAGATATGGAAAATTTTGACAATATATGATGCCACTTAAGTAAGTGTTACTTTTTAATAGTGGTCTCCCAGCAAAATAATTTGCCTTCAGATAAGGTACAGACTGTAAAAGAGTTTATGAGGAAATTGGGTAAATATCTTAGAAATCATGGTTGGATATTTAAAAAAGTTTCTTTAAGTAGTTTATAGTATGATGTAGTAGAAATGGGATACCCTAGATTGGCCATATGGCCCCCCTTGGAAGTGAAAAATCTTATCAACAGATTTCTGATGTCCATGTAAATTATATTTACTGCATTATTTATATCTAGGTTAAACATAATATTTACAAATAATATAATTTATTTTAAGGCATATCATGATATTCATTTTTAAAAATGAAACAATGTTCATAAGAAGCATGATAAAATATTTGTTGATAAAAAGTACGAGTCACCTAGTTTTGGAACAGTTGTTTCCATCATCAGAGCTACAATTACACAGATAGCTCAGTTTATGTACACTACAAAGGAAAGAAATAGATATAATGACTAATATTCAAATGGTAAAATTTATATTAGTGAAATGAAAATTAAAAAATAAGATTGAAAGAACATCAAAACATTTAAAAAATCTGTAAAACTATTTTAAGTTATAGCTGAACATTTCTGGAATTGTAATGGGATGTATAATCAAAAGGATGTAAAAATTATAAAAAAAATGCAAAAATAATGTAGAAAAAGATTTAGAAGAGAGTGTGTTTTGTGAAATAAAGCCATTTGTACACAGCTCTAGAAATGTAATATTTTGAAACAAGTTTATTTAATTTGATATATACCATCTTATATTTGTCAAATGAAAAATCATATTAACTGAATTGATTCCATCTATAATAAACATGTGATTAAAATTATGATAATCCAATGCATTATCTTGCACTTAATGTAACTAAAGGTCTTTGTCAAATATCTGTGCAACAAATAAATTGTTCCAAGTCATTCTGTAGTTTCTCAACACTGTCAATACAGCTAGAAATGCTCAAGAGTTGAATGTCGTTCAGCAAATATTACTAACTAAGCACTATCAATATCATTAATGTAAATAAGAAAAAGCAGTGACCCCTGACACACTCCACTAGTAACTATGGCTCACTTTGACTACACTCCATTAATAGTTTTTTGCTTTCTTTCATCTACCCATCTTACAATCTAATTTATTAATCTTTCTTAGCTTATCTTCTGTGTGGAACTTAATGTACAACAAATCCACAGCCTTTCCATTATCCAGATAACACCCTCATAAAAAGTAAAAGGAAGATTTGTTTTTTATCAAATCCATGTTGATTTTCTTTTATAACACATTTTACTATATTTTACCAGTCTCTCTATAATTTTCTCTAGAACTATGGTATTTATCCTTAATTTTCCTAATATGTTTTTTCTAAGCCAACTAGCATTGATTTTCCTTTCTTTTTTATGAACATGCCCATCTTGAATTAAAAGCATTTGTTGCTTATATATATACAGTTTTGGTCTCCTTATCTAAGAAAAGATACTGACTTACTAGGAAAGGGTTCAGAGGAGGGTACAAGGAATCCTTGAAGGATGATTCCAGGGATGGGTTATATTACAATTTACACTTTTTTACAGGGAAAGTTAAGATAACTCACCTTATTTTCTCTTGAGGTATTTATAGGATAAAGGACTCATTTCTATGTTGTGTAATCTGAAGATAAAAGTAAAAGGATGAGAGGACACAAGTTTAAATTTGGAAAAAAAAGAAAAAAAGAGAGACAGGCTAGGCACCAGTTAAGATAATTTTCTAACACTACTAGCAACAGGGTGAATGTGTGAATTCTGAAATGAGGTGCCCACCGTTACATGAATCTGAAAGAAGTTTAACAGGGGGATCGATTATTTCCTAGGTTTACATTTTTACCTTTCCAGTGGTGGGTGGGTGCCCCAAGGACAACTTTGAACTGTACTGTACTTGTATTGTAACTGTAACACTAACAGTGTAAGTTAAGAGTAGATATAATTGTAATAATAACTTAAGTTATAGTATACTAGTTATACTTATATAGTTTATAGGTTGATCTTGCCATGATTAAGTGATTATGCACAAACAAGCTTATAAGTTATACTATTAATATTTAAACAAATATCTTATGGCTAAGTTTCATCAAATGAATATTTAAATAATACAAACATTAACAGAAATTCTCTACCGATTGAACCTCATTCCCACCCAAAAAACGAAACGATAAAAAAAATGCACATACTATTGTCGCCATCTGTCGATTATGGTAATCATATGGGTATTTTTTTCTTTTGTAATTTTAAGATACAGTCATTTATGCGATGAACTACCTTCGTCTGCGAATAAAATATTGTTACGTCTCTGTTCGTTAGTTAATTTTCCGTAAATTCGTTCCGACGAAACTTTAGCGACACAAGTCCTTTCTTAAATAAAACTGGTTTATTATTTCCGAATACAACTTTACAATACACTTAATTTCAACAGTGGCTCTATAACAACGCTATAACTCACGTCTCACGTGGCCAACAATATTTTATCCGCATACATTCAATTACTCATTACCCCTCGTCGCTTCGTGGCCGGTCTTATATATACAAGACTACACTATATCTAGAAAGATCACGAGATTTAAGGAAAAGACGTGAAAGTTCGAGAATGACATGGCGTGATACTAGTCGCGTGACCTCGATGTCGTAACACTGCCCCTTCCT